TCTCTATGCAAAGGCTGCCATTACCTGAAATAAATACTCAGAACCTGATGCTGTTTTTTTCTTGCTTCTTGCGAGAATCTATGTCATTTATAGAGTGAAGGTATAAAGGAAGGAGGTATACCACTCACTTAACAGATATCCCAGTGAGGGGAAAAAAGTCATTTTATTTAGATGAGGCACTTTCAATGTATGTGTTTGTGGTGTGTTTGTGTATGTGTGTGCGCACACATATGCGTGGGAAATAGTGGAGGTGGTGCAGGATAATAAATACTGTAAGGGTGAAGGAACACTGCCCTGAGCTGGCAGGAGGGTGTGGCAGCAGTGTACAGAGCCTATGGAGTAGAGTCCAGGGAGGTGGGTTCAAGGCTGGCTTGGAGGCTGAGGTGTCCCCCTCAACACAAGAAGCCAAAGAAATTGGAGGAACGGGGTGGTGGGCCCATGAGCATGGGCATCTGGTTCTTGTGGGTGATCTTGATCTGGAAGGGAAGGGGGCATGTTCAGATGCAGAACCTGGTGTCTTGGGGCTGCAGCAGCAGAAATTTGGGGGAAGACCCATGGGTTCAGGGTGGGTTGCTGTGGGAAGACCCATCATACATAGTAGGATGGCCAGGGGCTGGGAAGACAGGGTATGAGAGGAATGGTGCACAGGGAAACTTCAGGCATCAGGAGGAAGTAAAGAAGCTATGGCATGGAGATTTAGGATCCATGGAGCCTGAGGGTTCAATATTTGGCAGGCATAGGCAATACTCACCGTACAGGGCGACTGCATCCAGGGTTCTCCATCAATTTGCATGGGAAGGGTTTTCGTGGTGCTGTGGGAGGCCAAGGCAGATTGGTGGAGATTTCCTTACCAATCAAATACCAAAACTCTGTTTCTTAGGTTGGCTTTCAGACCCTTTAGCACTGAGATCTCCTAGTACAGTCCCTCCCCACCATTCCCAAGACCCGGGTGCTCCCGGCCCAACTCCTTCCCTCAGAGCCCCCGGCCAGAATTTTCCTTACTGAAAGGTGATCTCAGAGCACTTGGCCAGCCGACGTCCAGCACTTTTGAGCTTGGTATAGATCTGGCCCATTTCAATTGCACCCTCCAGCCCTACTACTTCCAGCCGCTTGTCACTTGGGTCTGGGGGTGGAAAGTAGTGAGATAGGTTTCGCAGAAGCAGGGTGCCTTCAGAGAGAGTCACACCTTCCCCTTAGTCCCGCTCACTCCGCTTCCAGAACTGCTCCTCTCACCTGGTACACTGGTTTTCAGGATGTCAGGGTCAGTGATGACTTTAGCTGCAGAACCTAAGGCCTGGTTGATCCCGTGGATGTCCCCATGGGGTCTCTTGGTATCACCCCAGAGGTTGGATCCACCATGCGTGCTAGGAATGTTCAGGACTGCAATACCTTCTAGAGATAGGGAACTCAGATCTAATGGTTTCCCACAGATCTGAGGGTAGGAGAAAACAGATCCTTACATCACGACATAATCAAGGGCGTGACCTCTTCCTCCACCAAATGACAAATAGGGAAAGCCAAGATTTTGAGTTTTGCAAGGGATGGAGGGAAATAGGGACTAGTATATCTTGAGAACTTGGGAATTCAAAATTGGAGAACTGGGAGGTCAAAGCAAAGGTTCAAGAATATGGGAAGTTCTTGAGGCACCTGTGTAGAGAGAAACTAAGATATAAAAAGCTGAAAAGGATATAGGGTTAGGTTTCATCATACCCACCTCAACTGTCAAAGACTCCTCCAGCTTTTTGCATGTTGAGAAGATGGATTCAGATGTGGCAAATTCGAAGTACCATAGCTTGTTCTTCATTCTGTATCAGCCCCAACACAAGACCCAGTAGGGAGGGGACAAATTATGCAGTTAGCAGTGACAGGGAAAGGCATCAACCTCCTGACTCCATACCCATGCAGAACAGGGTACCTTTGGGTTGAGGGCTTTCCTAGAGGTGTTACTACCCATATAAGTGCTCTGGTCACACTTGGCCACAACTGGTCCCTGCCACTGTGTATACCTACCCCCACCCCCACTTTCTCTCACCTGCTGTTGAACTTCTCAGGATATTTCTCTCGCATCATGTGGAATCGGTGAGCAATAGAGGCGTCCTGGGGAGTTCAGGGCATGTAAGATCAGAGGCCTGCCTCCTCTCAGCACATTACTTTCTTTAACTTCCCCATTTGGGAGCAGTATGCCTCATGTTCTTTTCTTGCAACTCACACCACTGGGCCCCACCCCAAATTTTCCTGTGGATAGCTTCCTTAACCTCTACCTTTCCAGTCTGCCCTCCTCCAGCCTGTGCCTGCTTAACCCCTACTTCCTCCCTTCCCCCATGCCCACTCCACTGACCACACCAATGGAGAAGTAGTTATTGATGATTTGAAAGGGGACTGGGTCACACTTTTCTTCAGTTCGTTGGGGTATCACCTCCACAGACCATCGATCCATATATACCACTTTACTCATCTCTAAATCCTTGAGGATCTTCCCCAAATTCTGTCCCTCATAGCCTAGGGAGGGGGGAGAACACAGGTTAGCACTCAGCCCCAAGTCTCAGAGGGACCTCCTCTTAGCTCCTAGCTCCACAAATTCCCAGGGATTCTCTGTCCTGATTCTGCAGACTCTCCCAGCCCTTGCCAGTGGAAGGGAAGGGTGCTTGGGCATGGATCTTGCTGACCCTTTCTTCCACACTGTCATGGAGGATGAGTGTTCCCAATGTGTGTACCCATCTAACAATCATGCAAAGTTCATCTGGAAGACTAGAGAAAATAGCCAGAAAAATTTTAAAATGAGTGATGAATGGGGAAAATTCATTCTCTATCTCTATCTCCATCTCCATCTCTATCTCTCTCCCTCATTCCCTGACACTTTCTCTGTCTAAACAGTGTGATAAAAGTAAATAAAGTAAAAAGTAAAGGACAGAGTGCCCAGAAATAGAATGAAGTATATATGAGAGTTTAGTATATGATGACATTTCAAGTAAGCAGGGAAAAGACAGATTATTCCATAACTAGTGCTGGGTGTAAAAATTACTCCTTATACCAAAATAAATTCAAGGTGGATCAAAGAATTTAAATGTTAAAAAAAGGAAGCAGAATTTGTACTAGAAGAAAGCACAATGTTTTAACAGTCTTGAGTGGAAAAGGCCTTTCTAAAGCATAATACGTACAAAGCTAGGAGCCAAAAAAGGGAAAGACTGATTAACACAAATATATTAAAATTACAAACTTCTGTATGGTGAAATAAATAACACACTTAAAAAAAAAAAGAAGACAAAATAGCCCTACCGGTTTGGCTCAGTGGTTGGAGCGTCTGCCCACAGACTGAAGGGTCCTGGGTTTGATTCCCGTCAAGGGCATGTACCTCAGTTGCAGGCTCAATCCCCTGTCCCGGTCAGGGCATGTTCGGGAGGCAGCCAATCGATGTGTCTCTCTCACAGCAATGTTTCTCTCTCTGTGTCTCTCCCCCACCCTTCTGACTCTGTCTAAAAAAATCAATGGGAAAATATCCTCAAGTGAGGATTAACAGCAACAACAACAAAGACAAAATACAAACTGAGGAAAATTTTCTGCAGCACAGACAACAGATTAACTTCCCCAACATTCAAAAAAGCTTACAAATTCTATATTAATAAAGTCAATAGAAAAACTGGCAAATAAGGCAATCAAGCCAATCACAGAAGAAATACAGCTCTAGCTGGTTTGGCTCAGTGGATAGAGCATCAGCCTGTGGACTGAAGGGTTGTGGGCTCAATCCCCAGTAGCGGGGTGGGCAGGAGGCAGCCAATCAATGATTCTCTCTCATCGTTGATGTTTCTATCTCTCTCTCCCTCTTCTTTCCTCTCTGAAATCAATAAAAATATATTTAAGCCCAAACCGGTTTGGCTCAGTGGATAGAGCGTTGGCCTGCGGACTGAAAGGTCCCAGGTTCGATTCCGGTCAAGGGCATGTACCTGGGTTGCGGGCACATCCCCAGTGGGGAGTGTGCAGGAGGCAGCTGATTGATGTTTCTAACTCTCTATCTCTATCCCTTCTTCTCTGTGAAGAATCAATAAAATATACTTTAAATATATATATATATATATATATATATATATATATATATATTTAAGCCTGGCCACAGGAGATCACGGTTCAATTTCCAGTCAGGACACATGCCTGGGTTGCAGGTTGGTCCCCAGTGTGTGGTGTGCAGGAGGCAGCCGATCAATGATTTTCTCTCATCATTGATGTTTCAATCACTCTCTCTCTCCCTTCCTTTCTGAAATCAATAAAAATATATTTTAAATAATAATAAAAATATATTTTAAAAAAAGAAATACAAATGGACAATATGCATATTAAAGATGCTCAAATTGACAAAGTATAAAGAGATTGATAAAATCAAGCATTAAAGGGATTATGAATAAACCGGCGCTCTCATTTGCTGTTAGTTGGAGCATATATTGTTATTTCGTTTTTGGAAGACAATTTGGCAATTTTTATCAAAACGTTATCAAATTTTATCAAAACGTATCCTTTGATGTAGCAATTCCACTTTTAGGAATGTCACCTACAGAAACTAACACACATGTGCACAGCAGTGGATATACAAGTAAGTTTGCTGAGGTACTTCTAAAATAGCAAAATATTGGAAAAAATCTAAATGCCCATCAGTAAGGGAAGGTTATATGGATGGTGGCAAATCCATGCCATGAAATAATGCGCAGCTACTGAATGCAAAATGAAATCTATAGAAGCTAACATGGAAAGAGCTCCAAGACACATTAGGCCATGAAAAAAAGAACCAGAACAATTTGGATAGCATGATCCCATTTATGTTTGTTTAAAAGTTCCGTGTGTGTGTGTGTGCATGTGAAAACAGAAAAATGAGTGCAAATAGGAAGCAGTGGGAGGAATGTGGAATTTGGTGAGGAGTAAGGAAAAAGAGACCTATATGTGAAGACTTACACATTTCACTTTTCAAAATTTTTTACAGTGAAAATGTACTGACGTATTACTTTCTTTTTCTTTTTAATATGGAATGTTTCACAAATTTGTGTGTCGTCCTTGCACTGAGGCCATGGTAATCGTCTCTGTATCATTCCAATTTTAGTATATATACTGCTCAAGCAAGCACTATTTTTTTTTTTAAAGAAAATAACTAATCAAGTGTCAAATCTTTATGCTCTTGGAGCCAGCAATTTCACTTCTTGAAATCTCTCCTAGAGAAATTCTCACATCTGTGTGCAGAGATAGATGAGCAGTGTTCACTGCAGATGGTTTGTAGTAAAAGACTAAATGCTACCCAGATGTCTATCAAGAGGGGACTGGTTAAGTAAATTATGAAAGGCACGTTCCCTCCCAGGAGCACATCCATGCTTTTCTTCCCCGACAGGCATGCCTCTCCTAAACTCTAACAGTTCCCACAAGACTTGCAACCAGGGGAGCTATGGGCAGCAGCAGCTCCTCCCGGGCTAACCCTCTGAACCTGTGTCCAAGGCCCCATTTCCTCTGACTTTCCAGTGAGCGAAAGCAGCCCCACCTTGGCTCACTTCTTTTTTCCTGTAACAGTTCTAGGGAGCTTAAGCAGCCTCGCCTGTCTCTCTCCTGTTGCTTCTTCTATCCTAAGCCCTTCCTCCTTTTGCTATCCTTAGCTGTAATAAACATACTCTCAAAATAAAAATAAATAAGTAAATAATGACATTCACAGAGCATAGTGCTATTCAGTAATAAAAGGAGTGAGGCAGCCCTAGCAGGTTTGGCTCAGTGGATAGTGTTGGCCTGAGGAGTGAAGGGTTCTGGGTTCGATTTCAGTCAAGGGTACATGCCTGGGTTGCGGGCTTGATCCCCAGTAGGGGGTGTGCAAGAGGCAGCCAATCAATGATTATCTCTCATCATTTGATGTTTCTATCTCTCTCTGCCTCTCTCTTCCTCTCTGAAATTAATAAAAATATATTTTAAAAAAGAAATATAATGACAACCAAGATGAACTGTTTCGTTAAAAAGAAGAAGAAAAGCATCTGTGAAATGACCTTGTTGTTTAAATACAGATTAGTATGTCTCTAGAAAGAAAACCATGTGGAAATAGACTCCAAAACTTCAGGGAGTAGATTACAGAGAACTTTCACTTTCTTGGCACGTATATCTGAAACGTTTGAAGTATATTTTACCACAAGCACGTATTATTTTTGCAATCAGGAAGAAAAAGATTACAAAACTGGGTCTTCACTTCCTCACATTCCATTGGTGGTTCAACCCACTGTAATTTGCCTTTCACCATACAACCCTGCTGAAACGCTTTTGGCAAAGATGCCAATGATTCCTGCCAAAACCAATAGTGTATCTTTAGTTCTTATTTTAACTCATGAAACTACTCACTTGGTTTCTAAACTAGCACTCTCTAAGTGACAGAGGGCCCTCTCTAACTGCTCCTTCGTAGTCTCTGCGGTAGGCAGGATAATGGCCCTTCGAAGATGTCCACATCCTCATCTCCAGAATCTGTGAATATGTTGCCGTACACAGCAAGCGGCTTTGCGGGTGTGATTAAATTAATGATTTTAAAAATGGGGAGAGTATCCTGAATTATCTAGGGGGGCCCAAGGTGATCACAGGGGTCCTTGTAAGTAAAAGGGGACCCCTAGAGCCTCTAAACAAAACACAGCCCTGCCAGCACCTTGACTTTAGTGCAGTGGGACCTATTTTGGACTTCTGATCCTCAGAACGTTAAGATGATAAATTTGTGTTGTTGTTGTTGTTTTAAATATATTTTATTGATTTTTTTACAGATAGGAAGGGAGAAGGATAGAGAGTTAGAAACATCGATCAGCTGCCTCCTGCACACCCCCATCTGGGGATGTGCCCGCAACCAAGGTACATGCCCTTGACCGGAATCAAACCGGGGTCCCTTCAGTCCCCAGACTGATGCTCTATCCACTGAGCCAAACCAGTCAGAGCTGTGTTTTAAACCACTGTTTGTGGTGACTTGTTATAGCAGAAACAGGTCACTAATATAGACTCCATTAATAATTCATCTTCCTCTGCTCAAACCTTAAATAGGGTGATTACCAGGATCTGCCTGTTCTCATCCACCTTCTCTTCTTAACTCTTTTACTGGTAACTCTTTTCCAGATGTCAATTACCACCCAGGAGCAGATGACTCTCAAACATGTATCTTCAGCCCTGACTTTTCTCCTAAATTTTTTTAAATTGTTTTATTGCTTAAAGTATTACAAAGAGTATTACATATGTCTCCTTTTTTTCCAGCCCTTGACAATCCCCTGACCTCCCCTACCCCCCAGTGTCTTATGTCCATTGGTTATGCTTATATGCATGCATACAAGTCCTTCAGTTGATCTCTTACCCCACCCCCTCCCACCCCCCAACCCTCTTCGTCCTTCCCGCTGTAGTTGACAGTCTGTTCGAGGTTGCTCTGCCTCTGTATCTATTTTTGTTCATAAGTTTATAATGGCCTTTATTATCCATAAATGAGTGAGATCATGTGGTATTTTTCCTTCATTGACTGGCTTATTTCACTTAGCATAATGCTCTCCAGTTCCATCCATGCCGTTGCAAATGGTAAGAATTCCTTCTTTTTTACAGCAGCATAGTATTCCATCGTGTAGATGTACCACAGTTTTCTAATCCATTCATCTACTGATGGGCACTTAGGCTGTTTCCAGATCTTAACTATGGTGAATTGTGCTGCTATGAATATAGGGATGCATATATCCTTTCTGATTGGTGTTTCTGTTTTCTTGGGATATATTCCTAGAAGTGGGATCACGGGGTCTCCTAAATTTTTAACATTGACTTCTAACTACCCACCACACACTTCCATCTGGGTGCTCCACTGACACCTCAGTGCAGCGTGTCTAAAAATGAATCTTTCTTCCTAAAACTGGTCCTCCTCCTGTATCCCATATCTTAGTAAATGCCATCCCATCTGCTCAGTCCACAGACCTAGGAAATGTCTTAGACTGGTCTTCACGTCCTCCTCCACAACCCATTAGTTACCAAACATTGTGGCTTCTACCTCATGGCTCTGGTTGGGGTGCGTGCGGGAGGCAACCAATCGATGTGTCTCTCTCACATGATGTTTCTCTCTGTGTGTGTCTCTCCTCCTTCCTTCCACTCTCTTTAAAAAATCAATGGGGCCTTGGCCAGTTTGGTTCAGTGAATAGAGTGTTGGCCTGTGGACTGAAGGGTCCCAGGTTCGATTCCAGTCAAGCGCACATGCCCGGGTTGCAGGCTTGTTCTGCAGTGTGGGGTGTGCAGGAGGCAACCGGTCAATGATATTTCTATCTCTCTCTTCCTCTCCCTTCCTCTCTGAAATCAATAAAAATATTTTAAAAAGAAAACCAATGGGAAAAATATCCTCAGGTGAGGATTAACACAAAACAAAACAAATAAATAAATAAAATCTGGCCAAAAATTTACATGGTAATATGTATTCAAAAATATTCCTAGCCCTAACCGGTTTGGCTCAGTGGATAGAGCATCGGCCTGTGGACTCAAGGGTCCCAGGTTTGATTCCGGTCAAGGGCATGTACCTTGGTTGCGGGCACAGCCCCAGAGGGGAGTGTGTAGGAGGCAGCCGATCAATGTTTCTCTCTCATTGATGTTTCTAACTATCTCTCTCCCTTCCTCTCTGTAAAAAGTCAATAAAAATACATTTAAAAAATATTCCTAATTTCTGGAATAATATTTTATGTAGAGAGGGTATAATATTTTATTTTACTTTTAAATATATTTTTTTCTTGATTTCAGAGAAGAAGGAGAGGGAGAGAGAGATAGAAACATCAATGATGAGAGAGAATCATTGACTGGTTGCCTTCTGCATGCCCCACACAAGATTGAGCCCACAACCCGGGCATGTGCCCTGACTGGGAATTGAACCATGACCTCCTGGTTCATAGGTTGACATTCAACCACTGAGCACACCGGCCAGTGTATACAAGAGTATAATATTTTACATATATTTTTCATGAGTTTAAGAGTTCCCTACAGTTCAGGAATTGCACATTCAAATGCCTCAGTTGTTAGAAAGGTAAAGTGGACAAGTGAATAGTAGGAAGCCCAGGGATTGTGGGAAATTGAAGAATACATAACCCACTTCTTAGAAATAACCAAAGTCAAAAAAATTAAAACGCTGCAAGGTAGACAATACAAATAATTTCTGTGGGCTGTCAGCTTGCAATCTCCAGCAGGATGAAGTTAAAAACTCCTCAGCATAGCATTCATGACCCTCCATAATCTGGACTCTAGTAAACTCAGTCCTCCTTCTTCCCATTCCCCATTTCACCCCTTATGTCCCAGTAACAATGAATGACTCACACTTTCCCCTAATGCACCACCACATTGTTTGGTGGCTCCAATGGTTTTACATAATTTCTTCCATTTAAAACACTTTTTACTCTCCTTAGAAGACCCCTATTCTATAATCGCCTGTGACATCTCAGAGCTGGACTTTGAATCCAGCAGCTCAGCTCCAAGATACCTCAAACTCAACCTGCCCCACACTGACATCTTTAACTACCAATGCCTTCAACTCTTTCTCTTTGAAGGGAGCAAAAGACTAGAAATGGGAGTGTAGTTAGGAGACTGTTGCAATACACTTGGGAAGAAATTATAATGAATGAATACATGACCTGATTAACTGGTTGAATGAATGGATGAGTCATGGCCAATCTCCCTACAAGTTCCATCACTCGGCATCTGGCTTACATAAGAATACGTTTTCATTGACATGAGAGAGAGAGAGAGAAGAAGGGACAGGTAGAGAAAGAAACATCAATCTGCTGCATCCTACTGGGGATCGAGCTGCAATCCAGGCATGTGCCCTGACCAGGAATCGAACCAGCAACCTTTCTCTGTGCACGGGACAATGCCCAACCAACTGAGCCACACTGGCCAGAGCTGGCTTAGCTCTTATACAACCTTTCTTATTCCTACATTGTCCTCCCTCTACCCCCATTTTCCCTGATGCTCTGGGCCCTAAGAATTGGTTGGGAGAAATAGAAGATTTTTAGATTTATAGGGGAGAGAACCATCACCCTTGACCCTTCTAAGTTCAGACTGTGACCCTTGTTCCTTCCACAGCTCTCTTCTTTTGGGACAATCCACTTTGGTACCCACCCA